AGACTCCCCCCCTTACACCTCTCCCAGCTCCCTCAGCACCCTCCGTCGCTCTTCTATGGACCCTCCCCATGCCTTGTTATCCCCCCCCCCGTTGCCCCCACCTCGGTGCCGATATAGGTGGGCCGGATGTACAGACTGGCAGCTTCGGAGCGCGGCACCCAGTCCTGCTCCAGCCTCACCAAGGCACGAATGCACTCCAGCAGCTCCATGGGGTCGAAGGGCTGCAGACAGAGGGACACTGGGACACAGGGGGACATGGGGACAGGAGGACACGGGGGGCTGTTGACCCCCTAGGGACACGGGACAATGGAGACGCTGGGGTCACTCACAGGCAGGCAGACCCTCTGGGCTGAGCGCCCCATCCGTGCCATGTTCAGTTCGGGGCGAAAAAGGCGGATTTTGTCGTCGGCACCACGGAAAGCCTTCATGCCTTCAAAGAGCTGGGGGGAGTCAGGGAGAAATGGGAGCACTGGGAATGGGGTTACTGGCCACTGAGGGCATGTTGTGGTTCTGGGGGGGGATTGGGGTCATTTTGGGGCTGTTCTGCAGGCCTGTTGATGTGTTTTTTTGGGGGGGTTATTGCAGGCAGTTTTGGGGCTCACCTCCACAGCGTAGTGAAGTGCAGAGGATGCGGGGTGGAGGCACAGGTCCTGGAAGGGGCGAATGTGGGGGGGTCCCCAACCGTCCGATCGGCTCCACTCGATGGTCAGCATGTGGTCAGTGAAGGTGTGCCCGAATTTCAGGTGCTCCGGGGGGGGTTTGGGTTTGGGGTGGGGGCTTTGCTCCACACGCAGCTCTGCTGCCTGTGTGCCCCCCCCCCAAAAAAAAAGGGATATGATGGAGGGGAGGGGGCCCAATGGTTCCCATATCCCCATATGGAGGTTCTCATATCCACATCCCCATATGGGCGATCCCACATCCCCATATGGGGGTTCCCATACCCAAGGGTGATGGGAAAATTCCAAAGGGATCCAAGTATTGAGTGATCCTGTAATGAGGACCCCGATAGAGACCCCAAAGGGACCCCAACAAGGACTAGAGAGGGATCTGGGGGGGGGGTCTCAATAGGGAGTCCAGCCCATAGGACCCCAAAAGGATGCTGGTCCTGGGAAACCCTAAAGGGACATGATGATGGGGGACTCCAATAGGGATCCCTGTAATGGGGGACCTCCAAGGGACTTGGTAATGTGGCAGCTCCATGGGGAGTCTGGCAACAGGGAACCCAATGGGGATCCAAAAGGGAATGTGTAATGGGGGACCCCAAAAGGACCCAGTAATGGGAAACCCCAATAGGAATCCCAGAGGGTAATGGAGGACGCCACAGAGGGACCTCAAAAGAACTCCAGTATTGGGACAGCCCCATAGGGGTCCCAAAAGTGGACAATGGTACTGGGGACACCTATCCCCCCCTCCCAGACCTCCTTACCCTAAAGATGCTGCTGTAAGGTCGCCGGGCAGCCAGCAGTGCTGAGAGAACCTGGGGGTGGCAGAGCATAGGGTGACCCCCCCATAGCCCCAGAATCACCCCAGAATCACCCCAGGAACCCCACAACCCCAACAGGGAATCCCCTCCAGGAGACCCCATAAAGCCCCCAAAGTGCCCCCCCAGCTTCAGAGGGGGGTCTGAAGTGGGGAGGAGCTTCTTTTTTGGGGGATTCCCACATCCACAATCCCATATAAGGGTTCCCACAATCCCACACGGGGGTTCCCATATCCGCATGTGGGGGTATCTGGGTGGGGTGGGAGTGGAGCCCGAGCAGTGGGCGGGGCTTGTGCTCAAAGGCCACGCCCACAAGGAGGCGGGGCTTCCACCTGGATGCTGAGGTGGGCGGGGCCTGCAGGTGGAAAGGGGCGGGGCTAAGGAGAGCCCGTTGTGCGGGGACTGGGGGACAAAAAGGGGAGCGCTGTCGGGACCCGATGGCGGGAAGGACCCGCGGCCTTCACTCACCGCCCCGCCGCCCCCGCACCGGCTCAGCACCGCCGCCGCCATCGCTCCGCTTCGCCGCGCCTTCCTCAGCCAATGGGAGCGCGCCGCACCGCCCCTCCCCTTCGATTCGCCAATGGGAGCGCACCACATCGCACCGCCCCTTCGATCCGCCAATGGGAGCGCGCCTCCCTGCCCCGCCCTTCGATCCGCCAATGGGAGCGCGCTGTTCCGTTCCGCTCCCCAGCCAATAGGGAGCCGCCGTCCCGGCTCACCCCCAGTCCGGACACGCCCCGCTCCTCTTAAGGAAGTGGGGAGGCCGCGGGGAAACCCCACCGCTGCCGTTGCCTGGTAACGCCGAGCGTGACGTCACCGCTGCCCTTATATGGTGCGGCAGGACCGAGGAAGTCCCTATGGGGGCTGCCCCGCTGGGCGCCCCATTTCACAGAGCTGCTATGGAGGCTTGCGCCCTTTGGGGGCTCTATTGGGGTCCCCAGAGCCACCGTGGGACAGCAGCATCAGCCCAACATCACCTCTATGTCCCCCCAACCACATCAACCCGTGATACCCCAGCATCACACCCCACTCCGCCCAGCGGCTCTCCCTCATGTTGCCACACTGTGACACCCCAACATCACTTCTCAACATCAGCATCACCCCCAACCACATCACCCCAGCCTCGCTCCGTGATATCAACCCCAACAACAGCACAACTTGTCACCTCAGTGTCACTCCCTGCTGTCACCTCGAAGAGACCCACTGTCATTCCCCACAGTCATTCCTTGTGTCACCCCAACGTCACCCCCCAATAGTGGATGTCACCCCAAATGAAAACTCAACATCACCCCGATTCAAACCAACGTCACCCCAACATCACTGCCCAGCACCGCTCCCTCGTCTCCCCCCAGCATCTCCTCAGCTGACTGCAGGGGAACCTCGTGCTGTCCTACGCAGAGCAACTGCAGCCCTGCCAGAACCTTTCCTTCTCTGCCAACCCGGAACTCCGCAGAAAGGCACTCCGTGGATGCAGAACACAGAATCCTACAGTTGCTCGGGTTGAAAAGGACCTGAAAGCTCATCGAGTCCAAGCACAGCCTAAGCAAACTACCTTCCAGCTAACGCCAGCCGTGCGACGCAGGCAGCACTGAGCTCACCTCTCAAAGCTGGAGCCCCGCCTCCAAGAAAATCCTGCAGCATCTGAGGGTTTTTTTTGACCTTAAAATATATTGCTTTGCTTTCAGATGCCAGAAGGAAGAGGAAAGAAAGAATCAAAGTCGTGACTGAGTTCACGATGTGATCACAGCCTGCTGCAGCGGACACAGACTCGCTCCATTTCGGAACAATGAAGGAGCCTCAGAACCCCACAAAATCGATTTGCCAGCGATTTCACTTAGAAACGGGTTCCAGTACCATTTTGAAGACCATAAAAGCTGCAAAATATTTCACCTTCCCACATCGACTTCTATGAAGTCTCTCAAAGACCCACAGAGCACTACAGAGCGCCAAGGTAGAGCCTGGAGATCACAGTTTTCACCCAAAACGTGTGACATCTTTTCCCAAAAATACCAGTTTATGGGATGAAAACTTGTATTTTTTGGAGAAAATCTCCAATTTGGGGGAGAAAGCTAGTAGTTCTGGAAGAAAATGTCATATTTATGGGAGAAAACAGGCATTTCTAAGAGAAAATGTCATACTTATGGGGAGAAAAGTGGTATTTCTGGGAGGAAACGTCATATTTATGGTGAAATAAACTGTTATTTCTGTGAGAAAATGACATATTTTGGGGAAAACTGCAATTTCTGGGAGAAGATGTCATATTTATGGGGTGAAAACAGGTATTTCTCCATAGAAATGTGATATTGATAGGTAGAAAACTGGTATCTATGGGAGAAAATGTCATATGTATGGGATAAAAGTGTTATTTCTGGGAGAAAATGTGTTATTTATGTGGAAAAAATGGTATTTATGCGAGAAAATGGGGTATTTATTGGGAGAAAACAGGTATTTCTAAGAGAAAATATCATATTTTGGGGAAATAAACTCTTATTTCTGGGAGAAAATGTCATATTTATGGGAGAAATCTGTATTTCTGGGGGAAATTTTCATATTTTGGGGGATAAACTGGTATTTCTGGGAGAAGATATATTTTGGGGGGAAATCTGGTATTTCTTCATGCAGATGTGATATTTATGGGGAGAAAACTTATTTCTGGGAGAAAATGCCCCCCCACCCCCCTCCCATCTCCATTGAGCTGCACTGCTCTCTCCCTGTGGAGCTCTGGGGCTCCCTTCTCTCCTTCCCAGCCTCCCATTGCTTTTCCTGGACGATTTCCTGGCTGTGTTCTCTTATTCCCACTGTTGCTTACCCTTCTTTAGGTGCTGCTTTTCGTTCCAGGATATCCGACCTTATGGAGGAAACGGGGCTCATCTCAGAAGGCAACGAGCATCTTTGTGAGCTTCTTATTTCAGCCAGGTGGGCCCCAAAGCAGAGCTGTTGGTGGAAGTGTCAGAGAATGAGATGGAAGCACAGCACGTCTCATTAGGGAAGTGAATTAGTTACATTAATTGATTCTCAAGGTGGTAATTTGAGCCATGGAAGCAGCCATAGGCTTTAATAGCCTTCAGTGCTCCCCACGCAGAGGCAGCCCTGAGGGGTTCCGATGGGCGAGGTGCACCTCACTGTGAGCAGACCCCAGTTGCAGGGTGCACAATTAACAAATGCACAGTTTGCAGAGTGACGTGGTTGGAACGGTATTTTATAGCTTTTATAGTTAGAAAGATCACTGCAATAGTAAGTAATCGACAATCAAACATAAATAGAATGCCCACCCACGTCCTAGGCTTGCAGCAGGAAGTTCCAAAGGGAGGGATCTCCAGAAAGAGATTGTCACACAGTTATCTCCAGATCTGAGTCCGTGACAGGGGCACAAACCCAGGAAACAGAAGAGAAATAGTAAATAAACTATCCTAGGTATTAACAGCACAGCCAGCCCAGCCCCAGGCTAACGAGACAAGGCACACTGTGGGCTGCGTGCTCCAGGGGAGCAGGAGAGAGTAGGAAGACAGCAGATGGGTCTAACAAAAACAACAGCAGCAATCTGAGGAGAAGCAGTAATTTACTAAACCCAACCAAATCAAACAAAACGAGAGAGGAACAGAACATCAAATGCAAGTTCTTACACAGAAGAAGCACGTGCCTTTTTCTCTGCTTCGGTCCAGCCAGGAGCTCCACCTTCCTCCTCCGTACTCCAGGTCCTCCAGGAATGCTGCTCCTCCCCTCCTATCCTAGAACGCAAAATGCCCATAAAGGCAGTCCAAGGACCAGAACTTGAACTCTCTAACTCACTTTACGTGATGTTCTGATGTAGAACACTGACAACAAAAACCACAGAACCACAGCAGAGATCCTTCCCCTATGGCAGCCAGCCCTTAAATGGGGTCTAGGAGAGCTGCAGCCAGGCTCCACCCTTCCATTCACAGCTGAATGCCTTCACCTGTGCTCCCACAGCTGACTCAGTCCTTGCCTCAGGTGATCAATCAGTGGTTCAGGCCGTGACTCAGCAGCTCCCATTCACAGGGCTGTGAATTGACAGCTGAGTGTCCCTGGGAGCTGTGGGTGTGCAAACAGCACTCTGCATTGCCAGCAGTGATTTCAGCCTTTTGCTGCTGCTCACACAGATCTCAGCATCTGCTGCGCCAGCACTGAGATCTGTGCTCCTCCATCTGTTAGAAGAGTCACCAACTGGCATCGAGGACAGACTGGGACCAAAATGTGTGGCTGTGGCAGGTCATGCAGCCATAGACCTCTCTTGGCAGGCATTCATTTTACTCATTATCTTTGTTCTATGGCCATACAGGCACTGTGAGGGCACGGCCTGGAGCTGTGATGGAGCACCTGGGAGGGGTGCAGCCCTGCGAGCACAGCTGGGGGCAGTTCGGCTGTGGGTGGGGCTGAGCCGGGCTCCACCCCTCCCTGGCCCCATTTAAGGGCTGGGAAGCACAGGGGCAGCATCTGAACCTGGGGAGTGCTTCCCTGAGAGCATGGGGTGAGTCTTATTCCTTGGGATGGGTGATCCCTTTTTATTGCAGGGCTGTGATCTCTCCCTTTTTGGGGGACCCTGGCTGCATTTGAGGGCTGGCAGCCATCTGTACCTGGAAACTGCTTCCTTTGAGTATGAGTGAGTATTAGTTCTTGGAATGGGGTAAGTGGTTCCATTTTTATTTCAGGGTTGCAATCTCCCATTTTGGGGGGGGCCTAACCACAGTTAAGGGCTGGTAGCTGTAAGGGCAGCACCTGATCCTGGAGGCTGCTTCCTTTGGGTGTGTGGTGAGCCCTTAGAATGGGGTGAGCGATTCCTGCTTTATTTCAGAGCTGTAAGCTCTGCATTTCTGGGGGGCTCTCAAGCTGGGTTACAGCACCTGCATCTGCTATGTGTGTTGTTTCTTCTTCAATGGTTGTCATCTTGTAATTTCCACGTGTGGCTTATCTGCTCCCACATCATCCCACTTCATGGCTGTAATGCACAGTGCCACGTGTTAATTGCACCCATACAGAGTTTTTTAAGGGCATTCTGTGCATCGTTATTGTGTATTAAATTATGTTCTGTGCCTCTTCTGACTTCATTTTGCAGCTCAATGGGGTTTAAGGGTTGCCTGGTCTCCTCTAATCAGTGGTGTGAGATCTGTGCAGCAGGTAATGAACACCATGAGCCCCACATTGGTGAACTACTTGTATGCAGGTAGGTTTGCGATGCGGTCCAACTCCCCACAGTGAGCATCCACAGCTGGAGCAGGTTGCTCAGAGCCTGACCCAGCCTCGCCTTGAAAGGGGCAGCGCATCCACCACATCTCTGGCAAGCTGTTCCACTGCATCACCACCCTCACTTGGAAGACATTTTCCTTATCTAACCTCATTTTTCCCTTGTTCTTTCCTTTAGGCATTGAAAGGCTGTTACCAGGTCACCTCGGAGCCTTCACTTCTCTATGCTGAGCAGCCCAGCTCTCTCTCCTTACAGGAGAGGTGTTCCATCCCTCGGTTCCTATCTGTGGCTGTGCTCTGGATGTGCTCCCACAGCTCCACGTCTCCCTGCACTGAGGACTCCACACCCAGATGCAGCTCTCCAGGTGAGGCCTCACCAGCGCAGAGCAGAGGGGCGGGGATCGCCTCCCTTCGCCCGCTGGCCGCACATCTTTGGATGCAGCTCAGGATACGGTTGGCTTTCTGGGCTGGAAGGGCCCATTGCTGGTTTGTGTCCAGCTCCCACCCACCAGTACCCCAGGCCTTACTGGGCAGGACTACGCTCAGTACTTTCACCCCCCAGCGTGTTTTGGTGGTGAGTGTTCCCTCATCCCAACTGCTGACCCTGCACTTGGTTTTGTGCCCCTACTCAGCCTGTTGAGTCCCTCTGCATGGCGTCCTGTCCACTGGTGTGTCACTGCACCCCCAGCTCGGTGTCATTAGGGTGCAATCAACTTCACTGTTGATGTTACTGGTGAGGGGCAATCCCAGATGTTTATACAAACTGGGCATAGAACCCCTTGAGAGCAGCCCTGCGGAGAAGGACTCAGGGATCCTGGTGGATGAGAAGCTGGACATGAACCAGCAGAGCGTGCTTGCAGCCTGGAAAGCCAACTGTATCCTGGGCTGCATTAAAAGAGCGGCAGCCAGCAGGGAGACAGATGTCATCGCCCCCCTCTGCTCAGCTCTTGTGAGGCCCCATCTGCAGCACTGCGTCCAGGCCTGGGACCCCAGCACAGGAAGGACGTGGAGCTCTTGGAGCGGGTCCAGAGGAGGGCACTGAGATGGTCAGAGGGCTGGAGCAGCTCTCCTGTGAGGAAAGGTTGAGGGAACTGGGACTGTTTCTCTTGGAGAAGAGAGAGCTCTGGGGAGACCTCATCACAGCCTTCCATTACTCAAAGGTAGGGCATAAGCAGGAGGGGCAATGGCTGTTTACCAGGGTGGATAGTGATAGGGCAAGGGGAAATGGTTTTAAACTGAGACAGAGGAGGCTTAGGTTGGTTATCAGGAGGAAGCTTTTCACACAGAGGGTGGTGATGCACTGGAACGTGTGCTTTAGAGTCACTTCCAGGAGGATCTGCTCCGTGATCGTTCCCAGCACAGAGGTGAGACTGACGTGGTGGTAGTTTCCTATCCTTAATAACAGGTGTGCTGTTGCCTTTTTACTCACCAGGGACTTCACCTGACTGCTTGACTTCTCAAATACCATTGAGAGTGGCTCGGTGACTGCAGCGGTGAATTCCCTCAGAACTCTGGGACTCATCTTGTTAGGACCCAAAGATTCCTGGATGTTCGGGTCCTCAGGTGGTCCAGAACCCGATCTCCCATCACAGTGTGGGATGGGGAGGGGTGTGTGGGACTGGCATTGCTTCCTCAATCCCCACCTACCAAACCAAAGGTGAGGGAGGGCTGTGTGTGATGAGCAGTTATCAGAGAAGATGGAAGCTAAAATGTTGTTGTGTATCTGAGCCTTCTCCTCGTCCGTTGTTCCCAGCTGCAGTGCTGCTGTAAGCAGCATCGTGCACAGAGTGCAGCCATGCTGCTCTGAGAAAGGAGCACTGCAGCACGTTTGTGAAAGAGGCACTACCCTACATGTGGGGGCAGTGCCTTCAGTACTGTGTTGTTCCAACAGTGGCAGCACAGAGCTGTGGTGCTCCAGAGTGCCGTAACGACTGCACGGAGAGATGAGCGGGTCTTCATGGGAACAGCAAGGGACCGGAATCTGCATTTCCTGGGATGCCTGGAACTTCACTGTGCTGGCTGGTAATTGTCTGCCTAGCAGGTAAGGGCAATGCACGCCCACCAGTGTTTACCTGTTCCATAGCATGGCACAGCACGGTGCTTCCAGAGCTCTTAATTGCACTTTATGGTGCCTGTCCTTTTCTTTCTGTGTTCTCCTTGTCTCTGGCCTTTCACTGCCGTGTTCTCCTTCCCTTTGCCTCTGCTGTTCCTATTACATTTTCTTGCCCTCCTTTTATTTTGTGTTCCATGCTACATTCTCTTGGCCATTGCCATTGGCTTTCTTTGCCGCATTCACTTCAGCATTCAGTTTTGGCGTTCCCTGCTGTGTTCTCTTGCCCTCCTGTTTCGGCATTTCCTTCCATCTTCTCGTGGCCATTGCCCTTTGCATTTCCTTCCGTGTTCTCTTGGCCTTTGCCTTTGCCTGGGCATTCCCTTGCCCTCCTGTTTTTGCGTTCCATGCCACATTCTCTTGGCCATCGCCCTTGGCTTTCTGTTGCCACATTCTCTTCAGCATTTGGTTTTGGCGTTCCCGCAGCATTCTCTTGCCCTCCTGTTTTGGCGTTTCCTGCCATGTTCTCTTGGCCCTTGCCTGGGCAT